TATAGTAAGCATACTTTATATATAAAGACAGAAATTGGCTGAAAAAAGATGGGAAAAGATATACTATGTCAACACAAATCAAAAGAATACTGGAGTGGTTGCTTTAATATCAAATAAAGAAAATTTCAGGGCAAAGAATAATCTCAGCAAAAAAGAAGGTCATTCCAGGGAGAAGATATTTGCAAACGACATATCAGATAAAGGGCTAGTGTCCAAAATCTATAAAGAACTTAGCAAACTCAACACCCAAAGAACAAATAATCCAATCAAGAAATGGGCAGAGGACATGAACAGACATTTCTGCAAAGAAGACATCCAGATGGCCAACAGACACATGAAAAAGTGCTCCATATCACTCGGCATCAGGGAAATACAAATCAAAACCACAATGAGATACCACCTCACACCAGTCAGAATGGCTAAAATTAACAAGTCAGGAAATGACAGATGCTGGCGAGGATGCGGAGAAAGGGGAACCCTCCTACACTGTTGGTGGGAATGCAAGCTGGTGCAACCACTCTGGAAAACAGTATGGAGGTTCCTCAAAATGTTGAAAATAGAACTCCCCTATGACCCAGCAATTGCACTGCTGGGTATTTACCCTAAAGATACAAACGTAGTGATCCGAAGGGGCACGTGCACCCGAATGTTTATAGCAGCAATGTCTACAATAGCCAAACTATGGAAAGAACTTAGATGTCCATCAACAGACGAATGGATAAAGAAGATGTGGTATATATACACAATGGAATACTATGCAGCCATCAAAAGAAATGAAATCTTGCCATTTGCGACAACGTGGATGGAACTAGAGGGTATCATGCTTAGCGAAATAAGTCAATCGGAGAAAGACAACTATCATATGATCTCCCTGATATGAGGGAGAGGAGATGCAACATGGGGGGTTAAGGGTGTAGGAGAAGAATAAATGAAACAAGATGGGATTGGGAGGGAGACAAACCATAAGTGACTCTTAATCTCACAAAACAAACTGAGGGTTAATGGGGGGAGGGGGTTGGGGGGGTGGGATTATGGACATTGGGGAGGGTATGTGCTATGGTGAGTGCTGTGAAGTGTGTAAACCTGGGGATTCACAGACCTGTACCCCTGGGGATAAAAAGATATTATATGTTTAAAAAAAATAAAATTAAAAATAAAAAAATAAAATAAAAAAAAAAAAAAAAAAGAAGGTCATTCCATAATGACAAAGGGGTCAACTCATCAGAAGGATATAACAATTCTAAACATTTATATACCCACTAATAGAGCTTCAGAATACATGAAGCAAAAACTGATAGAGTTATAAAGAGAAATAGACAAATCCATGATTATAATCAGAGATTTCAATACATGTCTCTCAGTAATTAATAGAACAAGTAGACAGAAAATTAGAAAAGATATTAAAAGACTGAACAATACCATCAACCAACTTGATCTAATTGACATTTGGAGAGCACTGCGTCTGACAATAGCAGAAGAAATGTTCTTTCCAGGAGCGCCTGGAACATTTATCAAGATAGAACATACTATCCATAAACAGCCATAAAACTGTTTTTAGTAAATTTAAAATGATTCAAACCATTGAATTGAATTGAAATTGTTACAAACAATTAACAGAAAACTTTCTGGAAAATCCTCAAATATTGAAACAAAGTAGCACATTTATAAATAACCCATAGATCAAAGAAAAAAATCCAAAGGAAATTAGAAAGTATTTTTAACTGACTAAAAATGAAATATAACATATCAAAATTTGTGTGAAGCCATTAAGTTAGCAGTTGGGGGAAATTTTATAGTACAAAGTGCCTATATTAGAAAATAAGTCAGGTCTTCAATTAATGACCTTAGCTTCCACTTCAAGAAAAATATAAAAAGAAGAACAAATTAAATTCAAAGTAAGTAGAAGAAGGAAAAGAATAAAGATCACAGTGAAAATCAATGAGACAGAATACATAAGGAAGAGATAAAATCAATGAAACCAAAAGCTGGTGTCATTAAAAACTTAAAGCCTCTAGTCTGGCTGATCAGAAAAAGAAAAAGAGAAAAAAAATTTAATATCAGGAATGAGAGCTGTGACTTCATTGCACTCTACAGATGTTAAAAGGATAATAAGGGGGTTGCCTGGGTGGCTCAGTGGGTTAAGCCTCTGCTTTCGGCTCAGGTCATGATCTCAGGGTCCTGGGAGAGAGCCCTGCATTGAACTGTCTGCTCAGGGGGGAGTCTGCTTCCCCCTCTCTCTCTGCCTGCCTCTCTGCCTACTTGTGATCTCTCTCTCTTTCTGTGTCAAATAAATAAATAGAATCTTTGTAAAAAGGGATAATAAGGGAGTATTATGAACAGCTTTATGGTAATAAACTTGACAATTTAGATAAAACGGGCAAATTAAAAGACACAAACTAGGGGCACCTGGGTGATTCAGTCAGTTAAGCATCTGCCTTTGGCTCAGGTTGTGATCCCAGGGTCCTGGGATGGAGTCCCATGTTATGTTCCCTGCTCAGCATGGAGTCTGCGTCTCCCTCTGCCCTTCCCCTCACTGGTGCTTTCTCTCTCTCTCTCTTTCAAATACATTTTAAAAATCTTAAAAAAAAAAAAAAAAGACACAAACTACTAAAGCTTACTCAAGAAGAAATAGATAACCCCAGAAATCTTATATCTGTTTTTTTAAATTGGATTTGTAGTTTAATACTTCCCACAAAGAAAGAAGAAATAAATACCAATTAACTGTACATAAACTTTTAAAGAAAATTGAAAAGGAAGAAATACTCCTTTCTATGAAGCAAGCATTACTCTGATACCAGAATCTGATGAACACATTATAAAAAACTACAGACTAATATCCCCTATGAACATAGATTCAAAACTTCTAAACAAAATTGAAAAAAATCTAATTCCACAATATATAGAAAAGAGTATAAACCATGACCAAGTAGAGTTTATTCAATTCCAGGAATATTCATGTTTGGTTTATTTTTATTTTTTAAAGTTTTTTTTTAAAGAATTTATTTATTTATTTGACAGAGAGAGAGAGAGATCACAAGTAGGCAGAGAGGCAGGCAGAGAGAGAGGGGGAAGCAGGCTTCCTGGTGAGCAGAGAGCCCGATGTAGGGCTCCATCCCAGGACCCTGAGATAACCTGGGCCGAGGCAGACGCTTAACCAACTGAGCCACCCAGGCACCCCCTAAAGTTTTTTTTTTTTTTTTTTTAAGATTTTATTTATTTATTTGATAGAGAGAGAGAGCACAAGCAGGGGGAGCGGCAGAGAAAGGGAGAAAGCAGACTCCCCGTTGAGCAAGGAGACTGATGCAGGACTCGATTCCAGGACCCTGGGATCATGACCTGAGCCCAAGGCAGACACTTAACCAACTGAGCCACCCAGGCACCTCTTCATGTTTAGTTTAATGTTTGAAAATCTATCAAAGTAATTTACCATATTAATCATCTCAAAAATAAAGACCATATGATCATGTCACATAGAAAAAATTTTGACAATACAAAATATTTGTTCCTGATTTTTAAAATCCTTTAGCAAACTAGTAATAGTAGGGAACTTTCTCAACTTGATATGGGACAGTTATGAAAAATCTACAGCTAACACCATAATTAATGGAGAAAGACTGAGTGCTTTCCCTCTAAAATCAGGAACAAGACAGTAATGTCTCTTCTCAGGGCACCTGGCTGGCTAAGTCAGTGCAAATCTTGATCTTGGTGTTGTGGGTTTGAGCCCCATGTTCGGTGCAGAAATTACTTAAAAAATAAAATCTTTAGGAGTGCCTAAGTGGCTTAGTCAGTTAAGTGTCTTGATCTCAGCTCAGGTCTTGATTTCAGTTTATTATATGTTAATTATACCTCAAGAAAGCTATTAAACAAATACTTAACATAATGCCTAATGGGGTGCTGGGTGGCTTGGTCCGTTGAGCCTCTGCCTTCGGCTTGGGTCATGGTCTCAGAGTCCTGGGATTGAGCCCCACATCGGGAAGCATGCTCAGTGGGGAGCCTGCTTCTTCCTCTCCTTCTGCCCCTCTCCCCTTGCGCATGCTTTCTCTCTCTCTGGTGCTCTCTCTTGCTCTCTCTCAAATAAGTGGAGAAAATCTTCTTAAAAATGCCTCATGTTTGAAGTAGAGATTTGCTCAATTTGTCTTCCATCCTGGCTTAAACTGCTTCCAACAGTTTCTGAAGCAGAATGCAAAGTGACGTTTGTTGATCTATGATTAAGTGTAGTCTTGTGCTCTCCTACATGACTGGCTTGTTAAGTCATCGATGGTGATTTTGTTTCTTCCACTAAACTGCAAAATCCTCAAGGTTGGGACTTGTACCTTGTCCTTTTTTGTATCCTACCACCAAGGCCGGCACTGTGACAGACACAGAACAGTTTAAACAAATACCTTTCGGTGAACCGAGTGCATATGACGCTCTTTGAAAATCTGGGACCAGGGGGACTCAGGACAGAAAATGAAGAATGATTTTCACTATTTTTTATTCTTTTACTTATCTGGAATATAGCATAGAGGACATAGGGAGAAAGACATTGGCACAAAGCTACCCCAAGCCACCACCGGTATCCCTTATGCCCCAGCCGCCTGAGATACAGCTACAGATTGCCTGCCCCAGAGTTGAATTAGAGAGCTGTGGGTTGAAGGCAGAGGAAGACATACACCAAGGTGAAAGGATTGCCAGCCTGCAAGTCAGCTTCATTTCATTCCCTTGCTGTCTTTATTTTGACCTCTGAGGTGGTGCAGACTGGAAAAGGAAGGAAGAACTCAAGGAGCACGTGATATAAAACAATGTCCTTTATTAAACACCCTCAATGAGCCGGTGGTCCCATTTCTGATTATAATGACATTTCTCTCCATGTTCCCCCCCCCCCCAAAAGGTGGCAGTAGGAGCTCTACAGCAGAACAGATCAGCAAAAGTGAAAGAGAGGGAGCTAGAACTACCATCAGAACCTGGGATTCCTGCCTGCAGGGGTGGGGGGAAGGGTGGGGGAGAGACAAGGGCAAACATTACCCACTATAGTGGCCCGTAAAGTTGATGATCTTTGATTTCCGTCGTAGGAACTCTCCATTGCCTGAAGAAATACGTCTGTTGTAGGAGATTATATTGCCCTGGCTTCGACCTTTATAGATAATGTGGGCATAGGAGATGACATAGAATATCCAGAAACAGTGCATGAATATACGGGACAGCAAGCCAAACCAGCGCACGACCCTGACCTCTTCAATGACAGAGACATTGTTGGTAAAGATTTGAACTACAATGTTTACGATTTCATAGAAAATGATCCAGATAATATAGAACACTACGCCCCGGTATATTTGGGCATAGACCGAGTATAGGAGGACGCAGCTGATGATGATGGTCATAAAAGACAGAACGAAGACAACATTGGAGGTCCAGCAGATAAGGAAGTGCTCTACCAGGAAGGCTGCACTGTTGGTATGTGCCTGATGTTCAATGCAATCTTCGCTCTTTATGTACTTCTGTTCGAAGATGAGGTACATGTCGGTGGCCACGATGGTAAAGACCCCCGATAACACGGTGCCCATCTTGGCAGTCATCCCAAACCAGTGCTGCTGTTTCATGCTGAGACCTCCTGTGAATCCAAACAGGATGCAGGACAGTTCCGGTTCCTGCCGATGTGGTTAGTGATCAGGGTTTCTGCCTCCTGCCCCAAAATTCACCCTGGAAAACCCATAGAGAGAGATACGGAAACCAGGAAATAACAGCTTTGGGAAGACATCAGACTCTAAAATCGCTTGGGACTGTGAGTGGGGAGGAGGGAGGATGCAGTCTGGGGCTGGGGGCAAGGAGCGGATAAATGAGAGAAGTGGTTCCCAACCTGGGCTTCCGTTAGAATCACGGCAAGTACCCACACCCAGGCTCCACCCCAGATGGATGAGAACATTCTCTGAGTTCGACCTAGAAATCGGTATTTTTCAAAATTTCCTAGTGGTTTTCATAGGTAGCCAGGCTTGGAAAACCCGGAGTAGAAAAGGTGGTATAAATTATGCTCTGGGGTACCTCGGTGGCTCAGTGGGTTAAGCCTCTGCTTTCGGCTCAGGTGATGATCTCAGGGTTCTGGGATCGAGTCCTGCATCGGGCTCTCTGCTGGGCGGGGAGCCTGCTTCCTCCTCTCTCTCTGCCTGCCTCTCTGCCTACTTGTGATCTCTCTCTGTCAAATAAATAAAATCTTTAAAATAAAAAATTATGCTCTGATCTTTCCTGGCATTCCTTAGGCAACCGGTGCTGCCCCCTGGGGGGGAAAATTGGCTGCACTGGCCAGACCGTGACTGCAGGTGTCTCAAGAGAAAAATCAGCAGCACAATAGCCCTGCCAGTGTGAGGAGTTGATGAAAACAGGTGGGCATCAGCTGGATTTCAGCAATCACTCCTGCACTCCATATCAAAACTTAAAGAATACAAAGAAAGGTATACTTGAAGGGAAATTTACACCTCGAGGATGGAGTAGCCTAATAATAGAAAAGAAAAAGCAATAATGAGCTGTGTGTACAGCTAAAAGACTTAAGGGGAAAAAAACAACACAACATTAGGAACAACAAAAAAAATGGGAGGAAAAAAAATAGAGTGGAAATCATTGAAAATAGAGAGATTTCTGATTGGGTTATCGGGGCCAACCTGCTGCTTAAAACAACTAAAAATGCTGGATAAAATAGTTTTAAAATATTCTTTTAAAGATTTTATTTATTTATTTGACAGAGATCACAAGTAGGCAGAGAGGCAGGCAGAGAGAGAAGGAGAAGCAGGCTCCCCGCTGAGCAGAGAGCCCAATGTGGGGCTTGAGCCCAGGACCCTGGCTGGGATCATGACCTGAGCCGAAGGCAGAGGCTTTAACCCACTGAGCCACTCAGGCACCCCTAAAATATTCTTAAAAGCACAGAAGAGCTGGTGAAGGAGGAGGTAGGAAGCCAATCTCGAGGAGACAGGGAGAGGTAAGCAAGCGTGGGAGTCAAGTTTGCTCTGAGGACATGTACCAATCTGAGCAAACTTTGCAGGCGAAGGATGAATGAAATCAAAGCTCAGGGCCCACTGAGGTGGGGAGTCATGAGAAAGCTTCCTTGTATTAGTCATGGCTCCCCAAAGGGCTGTGGTGAAAGGTGAATCAGAATTAAACCTGACCCACAGCTTTCTCTCAAGAGACTCCAAAAAAGAGAACTTAGTACAACACCGAACTTAAGGAGAGAAACTCTCCTCAGGACATTGAAACCGTAGCTAGCCTTTTTGTCCCTCTGTAGCCCAAATTATATGAAGTATTCAAAAAAGGTTATAAAGGGCACCTGGGTGGCTCTGCATTGGTTAAGGGTCTGGCTCTTGGTTTCCGCTCAGGGTCATGGGATCCAGCCCCACGTGGGACCCCGTGCTCAGTGCTGAGTCTGTTGGTTCCTCTCCCTTCCCCTCCCCCTCTCAAATAAATAAGTAAATTAAAATCTGAAAAAAAAAAAAGCCTTTAAGTTACAAATCTAGTTTAAATTAGGCCTGAACTGGCATTATCTCTAAGTTCCTGGCAGAAGCGAACTCAAATCATCTCTGGAGATCTGTGTCTTTGTGCTGGTCCTCTCAAAGGGAAACCTGCTTCTCCCCTCCCACTCCCCGGGCTTGTGTTCCCTCTCTCACTGTGTCTCTCTCTGCCAAATAAATAAACAAAATCTTAGAAAAAAAAGATTTTTTAAAAGAGATTTTATTTATTTATTTGACAGATAGAGTGAGAGAGCACAAGTGGGGGAGCAGTAGAGGGAGAGGGAGAAGCAGGCTCCCCGCCTAGCAGGGAACTCGATGTGGGGCTCAGTCCCAGGACACTGGGATTATGACCCAAGCCAAGGGCAGATGCCTAACCATCTGAGCTATCCAGGCATCCCTACTTAGCATAGTTTTTTTTTTTTAAGGTTCCTCTATGTTGTAGCTTGTATTAGAATTCCCTTTGATCACATTTATATAAATAAAAGGTAATACTGAAAATATATGTGGAAACAGAAAACCATAGAAAATAACCTAGCAGATTTGAAAGAGAACCAGATAGAATTCTTAGAGATGAAAAACTTAAGACCTGAAATTAAAATTTTGGTGGGCATATTTGATAGCAGATTAGACACAGATGAAGTGATAATTAACCAGAAGATAGGTCAGGAGACATTATCTAGACTGTAGTACAGAATGACAAAAAGGTGGAAAATATGTATGAGAAGTTAAGAGATAGGAAGAATATAATAAGATGGTCTGATGAGAGAGAGAGAGGGAGAGGAAATGAGGGAGAGAGAGAAAGAGAAGAAGGAGGAGGAGGAAGGGGAGGAGAAGAGGAAGAAGTAGAAGTAGAAGAAGGAGGGGGAGGAGAGGGAGAGGGAGAAGGAAAAGAAAAAAGGAGGAAGAAGAAGAGAAGGAAGGAGAAAGAGGAAGGGAAAAGAGAGAAGAATAGGATAGCATATTTGAAGAGATAACAGCTAAGTATGATATTGTGATTTATTATAAGAAATACATATTTGGGATGCCTGGGGTTCAGTCGGTTAAGCATCCGACTCTTGGACTCTTGGTTTTGGCTCAAGTCATGATCTCAGGGTTGTGAGATTGAGTCCTATGTCGGGCTCCATGCTCACTATGGATTCTGCTTAAGATTCTCTGTGCTCTACCCTTCCACAAAAATGATGAATAAATAAATCTTTTTTCTTAAGGATTTTATTTATTTATTTGACAGAGAGAGAGATCACAAATAGGCAGAGAGGCAGGCAGAGAGAGAGGGGGAAGCTGGCTCCCTGCTGAGCAGAGAGCCCAATGCAGGGCTCGATCCCAGGACCCTGAGATCATGACCTGAGCCGAAAGCAGAGGCTTAACCCACTGAGCCACCCAGGTGCCCCAAAATAAATAAATCTTAAAAAAAAAAAAAAGAAATATATATTTGGTCTTCATCCCCAAACCCTTCCTTGGCACTTCCTAAGTGTTGAGAATGATAAAGGTGTCTTTTGTTCTGTTTATGAGTCTGCTGCCTCTATCCCTCTCCCCTGCTTGGGCACTGCTCTCTCTCTGTCTCTCTCTCAAATAAAATCTTAAAAAAAAGAAAAGTAGTTGATAATCACGTCTTTTTTATTTGTGAAATGTTCTGAAAATGATACATTATTTCAACTAAGTACACCACTATAAGTGGTTCTGATTCCTTCTTTGAATATTAACATTTTAAAAAACAGATTTATTTATTTATTTGAGAGAGAGAGAGAGAAGAGAAAGAGAGAACAAGCAGGGTGGGTGGAGGGGTAGAGGGAGAATGAAAAATCTCCACCAGACTCCCCACTGAGTGTGGTGCCTGACACAGGGCTTGATCTCATGACCCTGATATCATGACCTGAGCTGAAATCAAGAGTCACTGACTGAGCCACGCACACACCTCTACATTTTTTTTTTTTTAAAGTAGGCTCCACACCCAGTGGGGCTTGAATTCATGACCCTGAGATCAAGGGTCATATGCTCTACTGACTGAGCCAACTAGGCACCTTGAATATTGACATTTTAAATGCTTTTAAATGAAAGATATCTCCACATTGATTTTTACATGAACTTATACACTAGAAAAATAAAACCATTATTAATATGACAAAATATTGTAAAAGAGTTTACTTTTATCCTTCCACTTCATTTTAACATTACCCTTTTTTAACTGATTAACATTTATAATGTTTAAAAATATTCTTCATTGTTTAGGGCCTGAACTAAACTTTTTTTTTAAAGATTTTATTTATTTATTTATTTATTTAACAGAGAGAGAGAGAGAGAGAGAGAGAGAGCGCACAAGCAGGGGGAACAGCAGGCAGAACAGGCAGAGGGAGAAGCCGGCTTCCCGCTAAACAAGGAGCCCGATGCAGGACTCCATCCCAGGACCCCAGGATCATGACCTGAGCTGAATGCAGCCCCTTAACCAACTGAGCCACCCAGGCGTCCCTGAACTAAACTTTTAAACTTTTATCTTACTTGAGAGAGTCTTATTTGGCAACCTGTGGATCAGTCTAGTTTTTTCTGAGTGGTCTTTATGTAGGGTATCAGCGAGTACATTTCTGGGGGAGCACTGCCCTCCCAGGTTCACAGGATTGGGGGAGCAAGTTAATTAGTCACATTCTGAGCTATCAAGGGTATCCTGAAAATACAAGGGAAGAAACAGATATACAATTTATAAGGGGAGACATCAAGGTTAAGAACAGCAAATTTTCAAGTCAAATGGTGAAAGTTCAAATCTTGACTTTTCCGTTTACTGTATATTTATTCTCTCCAGGTCTCAACTTCCACATCTTTTTTAAAAGAATTCATTATTATTATTATTATTTTTAGTAATCTCAGTACCCAACGTGGGGCTTGAACTCACAACCCAGCGATCAACAGTTATATGCTCTTCCAACTGAGCCAGCCAGGCATCCCCAGCTTCTTTAAATTGGTATATTTGTTACTTTTTTTTAAAACTAATTTTACTAGTTTGCATAAAAAAACCTAACCTAACCTTTACTAGTTTGCATAAAAAACCTTTGCATAAAAAACCCTAACACTTAATAGCCTAAGACAACCACTTATTACCCACATGAATTCTGTGGATG